CCATAATTGTTTCATTAAAAATGCCCCCAAAATATAGAAAACTAAACAAAAAATAAAAGTTAAAAGGCCCCAAAAACTCACGTGTACTCTTACCATATTTGTAGAGCATGGTATAATGGCTCATAACCCATGATGGCTAAGCCAATGAGAACTCTTGAAATGCATTTTCCAATGATCCAGTTTTTAATAACACAGAATAGATAGGGTTGGGGAGGTCCTCCTGAAAAAGTGGAGGATCTATAATCGGGTCGATTATCTCTCTATAGATCTTCGGCAAAGAAGATGAATATCAAATTCCCTTCCATACTTTCCCCTAACAACGAACTGAAATGTAACAGTTCACTCTCTATTTACCGTCCCAAATTGACAGTTTAGAATTGTTCCTTTCTCCACATACTAGACATTTATATGTTACTGAACTAGTGCGAGGTCCACATGGGGGGAATGGGGTGGGGTGGGAGGGGGGCATGGGGAAAATATGGAGTGAGCTTCAAGTGACCTCCATAAATTTGCACAAAAGAAAAACAAGACCAATGGGACCAAACAAGCCAGCTCAATAATGTATTCACTAATTTATAATAATTCTTTTAAAATTTTGCAGATAATGCATTCATTAAACCCACTTCCAGTTATAACCTGCCAAGCATATAAATTTTTCAAAACAAAAAATAGTCTGCCAAATTTTAAATTTCCTTGTGACACCAGTACATGTACAATTTAAATCTAATACCCTCAAAAGAAATCCCTTTTTCTTTAAAGTGCTTCTCCATTAACTCATTAAACAATTCTTGGAAAGCCTTCTTATCACTTTCACTGCCACCAGCTATTATTGAATAAGAAGCAAAATGCTTATAGGCTTGATCAAAAGAACTTGCCTGTAAGCAATTTTCAAAGCTGATACACTCTTCTGGGGTGCTAAACAGATGCTGTGAGAGGAGACTGAAGACTTCTTTCCAATTTTCAAAGTGAGGGAAAACTAGAGAATTTCCCTCATCTAAAATCCTCAAAAAGTCAAAAAGGTCTTTTTCCCATGGTATAGATACGTCTAAAAGACTCCACATCAATCCAAAGGAACCATTTGGGACAAGCACTCGGTGGATCTCTTCCAAAGCTGAACGGTTTGTGAACCAGTGAAAACTTTGAACAGCAATTACAACATCCACACTTGCATCAGGAAGAGCTGAAAACAATAATTCCTTGTGATCAAGTTTATCATTTAAGCTCCTAAAATTTATCTAAGATATGTATATATGAGCGTTTTCTGGAGGGGTTGAGAGAAAACCAATCTCTGCTAAAATTTGACACAGATACCATATCTAAGATGTTTTAGTGAAATGTGAACCTTACAAAGGGTCCTCGCATGAAAGAACACTCTGTCAAGGATAATATTTCTGCTTTAGTTTTGTGGCAATCATTGTGAATTTCAAAATGTTGGTACATATGTCTGGAAATAAGAAATCTTCTGAAACTGCTCATACCTTTGAAAGGTTATGTCACCTGAGATGACTGTCATTGGCTTAAGACTGGTACATAGTTATACATGTAATACAAGTGACAAGTGGGATATTTCAAGTATACCACTCGAAAGCGTTGCATAACTATTATACCATGCCATAGGAAATACAGTGGCCAACACAATCAATGCAACACGTTTGCAGTGCATGATAAGAATTGGTTGGATGTAATACCATCGAAGACACAACGGCTTTCCTGTATTGCGATTGGCTGTATTTTCTATGGCATGTTATATATAGAAATTTATATCTTGTGACAACATTTCTCAGCTGATATAGATTCATCATCATCGTCATCTCTTCTCATCTCGTCAGTACGTGCATAAGGCCATTGATGTGGATTGCAAATAGATTAAGTTTTTAAGTCTTCTACCAAACCAGGTAGACCGCAAATTCAAAGACAAGCATGACAGTTGACTGTGGCGCCAAACATCAATGATTTTGGTCACTTGGCTTTGTTTGTCAAATCCCTAAGGTGAATGCACTTGCTCACATTCCTTTCTCCTTGCTGACTTCACCAGTTTAGTTTGTTGTTTGCACTTCAGAGTCAACCATTTAATGGGACCCCACAATGCTACAAATTATGAAAATCCTGATGCCAAGTCTCCGCTTTCCACAATGATGGGGTCTAAAATACTTTCTCTTAAGTTTTCATCTATGGATTTCCCGCACAATAGAGTTTGCCCTTTACTGTTTACAGAATATGCCATTGTTCAATCACGCTCTGGAATGTGACCACATGCATTCATCTTTTCGGTTTGACAAACAAAGCCACATGACCAAAATCATTGACGTTTGGCACTGAAGTCAACTGCCACGCTTGTCTTTGAATTCGCGGTCTACCTGTTTCGGTAGTATTTTGATGATCCCTTCCCAGTTTCATTCCCAGGGTTTCTCTTCCTGTGCATACATTTTTCACCTTATTATTTGGTTAGTGATATTTCACTAACCAAATAATAAGGTGAAACATGTATCATCACACAGGAAGAAAAACCCTGGGAATAAGACTGAGGTGGGATCATCAAGATAGACTTAAAATATTAATCCATTCACATGGTATATTGCTTGGTCCAGATGGTCAAAAAAAAAAAACAACTCCTATTAAATGGCCACCCTTAGAGAAATGGATAGTGGCTGCTTAAAGGGGGCTGGCTGCTTTATAGAGGTAAAAACAATAGATGAACCCTTAACGAGACTTTGATTACTGGCCACCTAAGAGGGGTGGCTGTTTGCCACCCAATAGGGGTGGCACAATAACAGTGGGAAAACAAGGGAATTTGTCAATGATCATGAGACAGGTCAAAGAATACAGTATCAACTTTCACTGAGTGAGCAAGCTCTGAGGCCATGTTTGTAAGCAGCTCAGCCAAAATTCAGAATAAATAAGTGTTATCCCCACCGCACCTTAGCTTGTGAGCAAGCTCTGTTGAGTAGTCCACTCCTCCCTCCCTTCGCCCCCCCCCCCCCCCCGCCCCTTCCCCTCTCCCCACCGCCACCCTCGTCCTCCGCTATGTGATCCCGTGAGTCACCAGATGTTTTTGTTACTTACGTATTTTCTCGGCAGCGCATTGGATAATTTCCGTTTCAGGTACCATCAGTTTAAATTGTTGACACATGCTCTGCAAAGGTTCACTCGCAATCACTTTGACTTTCTTCCCCGTCAACAATTTTACCATGACTCGAGTAAATTTTCCTGTTCCACAACCGAGTTCCAAGATCGTGAATGGCCGATTGCCTGTTGTGTTTGACGCCTCATTGTCTGTAACACCAAGTTTCTGTAGCAAGAATTCCACTGCCTCTACAGGATAATCCGATCGTACTTTTTCATAATTGGCAGCTGAAGCAAAAGCTTTTCGCGCAACATTGGCAACAACTTCACTCATTTTGATAAGATGGGTCACTGATACACTTCATGTTAGCATACATAACCGATAAAGCTAAAACGCATCGTTCCCAGTCTCTCTTGACGAGCCTGAATGTTTCACCTGGCGTCTTCCTTTCTTTCTTCTTCGCCGTCCTGGGTTTCTGTCACTAATCCACCTACATCGAGTGCTGTGTCCTCGGAATCATACCTCATACGTAACTATAAACCTTCATTACTGTTCCTTTCGTGCTGTTATGTTGTATTTTAGGGGAAGAATAGTTCTGCCGAGAATAAATATGTGGAATATTAGAGGCTTTAGCGTTCTTTAGGTTGTTTGTCAGTCTCTAATATTCTCCGTGACTTGTCGGAAGTGTTTACTTGTTCTTAGCGTTCATATGGCATCAGATGTAATCAGGAGAGAGCTATTTATCAAGGAGTTTTTAACCTACACTACTTTCCGGCTTGGAAAGTACTAGTCTTAGTCTGCAAATGTTACTTTCCATTTCAAAACTTAAGCTAACCCGTAACCGACCTAATTGAACTGAACTTAATTTTTCCATACGCTGCAATTTAGTTTAGGAGCAGGAGTTCAAAATGTCAGTGTGATTTGATGATACCCAGTCTTGTAGGGAAATGTAACAGGCCTCAGTGGACCTCCATTTGTTTATCCCCCCTTAAATTGAAGACATTTTCTGAGGGTTTGGAAATGTATTTCTGATGTGTTTGCTCCAGCTTTAACTCTTTGAATGCCAAATATTTGGCGGTATACATCCCACATGTGCTGTCCCTCTTTGGCTTCTCTGTGGAATACAGTTTTAATACAGTTAAGTCATTTAGCAAATAGAGTTAGCAGTCTGTGTTAAAATGTATGTCTAATTTACGTTTTGGTCAAACAACTTCCTGAGCTTTTTTGGAAATCTTTTCTAACCATCTGAAATATTTGAAAAATGATCAGAAAGAGACAATTTTTGGAAATCTATAGGAAGTAAATGAAAATATGGTAGAAATAGTCACAGATTACTCTTCTACTGATGTTTGTTGCTTAAAATGAACTAAGGATTGGTAATTCCTAACTTATTTGCTTGTCAAAGTTGCAGAAAGTTGAAATAATAATCAAAGATGTCTCATACACCAGCCAAGATTGTTCTCAAGAGTACAACAACCAAGACGCTGAATGATCGGTGAGCAATGTACCATGTGCCTTGCTGTGCATGGTATTATAGTACCTTATATCTGGCTTCATGCATTCAGTCACATTGTGGCTACTAGATAAGCCTAAAGAGCTTTATGAGCTTCATAAGTGTCATCATTGATGTTAATAGAATACCATGGTCCACAATTCAGGCCATACAAAAATAATAGTTGCCAGGGCATTATGCACTGCCCATAGAAATGCTGTGGCTATAAAGTTGGTTAAAATTAGTTTGTTGTGTGAAAGTGAAATGCATACAAGTTTGCACTGAGAGTGCAATTGCATTGAAGCCAGTCACATAATGCAAGGTACAAATTCCCCCTCTCCATCCATCTTCTGAAGCTTCACCGAAATGGCCAAAAAGCAAGTCCGCTCGCCACCACAAGTCACCATCACTGGAGTCCGAAGCAATCAGTTTCAGATGTCACAAGCCTCCGTAAAGAATCGCCGCCTTGCAGCACAGATGGCCAACAGACCGGGTGTCCAAGCAGCCCTTGGAGGAAACACTTCAAGCCTTAAAAGTCGACTTGGTTCACCGACGAGGGGTAGAGGACGAGGTGGAAATGCAAAAGGACTGTTGAAAAACCGGCTGGGTTCTAGCCCAACTGTTGCAGGAGGAACTCGTGGTGGAGGACGTGGTGGTAGTTTTGGTGGTGGATTTAGGCGAGGTCGAGGTCTGGGTAGTAATTTACGTGGTGGTGTCCGTGGTAAAAGAGGTGCTGGTGGAGTTACCCGTGTTGGTCGTGGAATACAAGGTGCTGGACAAGGGGCTCGTGGTGGTAGAGGGGCAACTAGGGGTCGTGGTCGGGGACGTGGCCGAGGTGATAAGCCAGTGTCAAGAGATAAACTAGATGAAGAACTTGATAAATACATGTCCAAGACAAAAAGCCATCTTGATGCTGAACTGGATGAATATATGAAGCATGCAGAGGAAGACAATGAATAAGCCAAGTGTACTGGCAAGAATAAACACTCTAGAAAACATTGACAACATTATATGGCTGTCATGAACTGGATGAAATTACCAGCAATGTGAACATTTGCTCTATTGTAGCTTTTATCTTCAGACAAGGCTTATAATTTGTGATCGTGTTTGCAACAGACCAAGGATGGTGCACATGTTTAACTTCTATACTGAAGAACTTTGTTTTACTTTGTATTTTCTAAGAACAGACATTTCAGTTATTGAATGTGGACCTACTTGCATGCTATATATAATACTGGTGCTATTGTATTGTACAAACAAGTATTTTTATTTGACTGCTGAAGTGCAGGAAAAGTCATATAGCATTATACTGTATATAATTATTTGTAATGTTATGAATAATGCATGTGTTATGACTAGCCTTTTTTTTTCAAGCTGGATCTTCACTATTTAAGGCACTTTGCAGTGGTGTTACAACATTACATGACTAACTGTCCTTCGTGTCTGCATAAAACCAATACCGTACTTGCTCTATCATTCGGCAATTCCTCTCTTGTTTTAGCAATATTGTTTTCTGTTTTTTTAATGATTATAATTTGATACTGAGTTTTATCTACTTCAGTTATTAATTTATTTTACCTCTAAGGTGAAAGGGGTTCACAGGAACCTACTTTTTTCTGTGAAAAAACCATTGAGCTAAATGCCTTGAATAGTGTAGGTCTTAGCAGTTAGAAAATGTTTATTCTTTTATTTATCAAACATTGTGAGACATTTGATCAGTAATTAATTATGTTGTACAGGAAACATTTTGTTAGGATAGCCAAAACAAATGTGGTTCCATAATCAGTAGAACACAAAAATTGCTGCTAATCATACTGGATGCAATTAGTGATATCTTGAGTTTTTTGTTGAGCATCTCAAGTTGACGGAAAGCAATATTGTTATAACTTACAGTTTCCTAGATGTACTATTTCCCTTTACTACAACATTTTAAGTCTTGAGATTATACATCTTCTGCAGTTAGTCTCTTAGATTTTTTTAGTCAGATGGATTATATGAGTTTTCTTTTAAACTTTGTGTCTTTGTAGATGTACTAGAAAGCATACTGCTTCTTAAACTGAGCCATTGTGAATGATTGTCATAGAACCAAAGCTGGGAGAGTGAATTGCAAAAATTAGTTATTTTTGTTGGTTTAGACGTAATCAAATATTTTAACAGTAGCCTTCATTTGCAGGAAAATATGCTTGGCCATGGACATTATCAGTTCCGAGAAGTGAACATCGAGGAAAACTGGGGGCTTCAAGGAACAGAAATGTCTATGGTCAAATATCGGAGCATATTTTTAAAGTCATATGAGGTTATTGTGTTATTATCCTTCAATTATTTTTTGCGATGTGCAGAATTTGAAAATTGGGGAATATCACTTGGAATAGGGGTTGCTCAGAGTCTGGAATTCTTGAAAAGTATGGAAATCTGCAAACTAGTTTTCAAGAGCTGGAAAAAGTATGGATGATAGAGATTAAGTCTGGAAAAAGTTGGAAAAAATGGAGTTTTTTTCTGAGCTGCAGCAAGTTCTTTTAATCATTAATTGCTAAGTGAAGTCTTTGCCACTTGTCTAATTTCATAGGTTCAGTCACGGAAGAACTTTCTCTGTTCCCAGTGCATCAGGGTTAACATTTTTGAAATGTCCTGGTTAATTCAGTCTGGATGGTATGGGAAAAGTTTTGAATTCTGGATACAAACGTTTGTATAAACTCAGTTGGATATTCCGAGTTTAAGCTGGGGGCATATTCAGTCGTCGTGTGACGAGTTTTGATCGATCTTGTGTGAGCGAAAATATTTGCTGAATTATTACTGTAAGTATCCCTTTGAATATCAGGAATGGCAATGGAAACGTCCCAAATACCGTATAGCCTGCGTAGCAAGTGTTATTTTGAAAAGCACGCGAAGGGAAGGAAACTGCGAGCGAGGGTGAAAAAAACAAGGAGCACCCCCTTCTCACCTCTGCCCAATTTTTTGCTCACCCCAGATGCACTCGCTTTCTCGCTTGTTTGCTCGACCTCCCCGCCTGGAAAATGGAAACGAAACGTCTACTACGCAGGCCAAATAATTTAGAAAAAAGGTTTATATTATCATAAATATTAAAAGTAGAAATGACAAGACCCACATTTCACCGTTGCTCACCATAGAGTCTCCAGTAGCGCAACATTAATATTGACAACCCTTCTGTGTTGTGTGGAGTGAGGTGGATGGGTTGGGGGTGGGGGGTGGCAACCCTGGTGCAAGGGGGTGCAAAGTCTGGGAGGCAGGATATGAGATTGCTATCGTCATTTGTCTTACCACCATGCAATTGAATCCCAATTTCAATCAAAATGGGTTTTAAGCCAACTCGTGATATCTGAAAAGGACGGTCAAAAAGATTTAGAAGAGTTTGTATGAAAGTGCGTGACACAACAAACATTTTACTGCAATCATTAACTTAGAAATAATCATTGACGTGGAATACTTGAGCTGGTTTGATCGTGCCTTTGATCGTAACTACTGAAAAAGTAAGAGTTCTAACAAAAAAAAAAAA